CGGTGTCCCGGCTCGTGCAACCGCCGCCCATTGTCTTGCGTCAAACCCTAGCTGAGCGTCGGCCTTGTAGATAGGTCAGCAGGGGTCCCGTGTGGCTGGCGTAAGCGCCAGTGCCACCGCTCACCGTGCCGGAGAGCGTAGGGATGGTCGAGGGCCTTGCCATTGTAAAGGGGAGAAGATCCGAGGGTTCCGTTGCAAAGTCGCTGACTATAGAAATAGTACTTGTAATGTTTGCGCTATTTTCTAATAACGTGAGGGCGTTTTTGATAATGTGCCAGCGCGTGCGGGATCTCCCCTCCGTGGGCCACCTCGCGCTGCAGGCCGGCCTCGTGCGGGCCCGCCTGTGGGCCACCGAGTGCACGCGCGCGCGTTGCGCCACGTGGGCCGCGTTGGGCCGAAAGCAGTTTAGCTTTTTCGTGGAGAATAGAAATAGCTTTTCATTTTAATTCTGAGCTGAACTTTGGTAATTAATATAAAATAATGTAGGTATCCAAAAATTGTGAAATCAATTTTGTTAAGTTCCTAAAATTGTGCTCTATCTGTTAATGTATTTAGTTCATATATATACTTGTTGATACCAGGAGCTTTTAAATCATTTGAGAGTGCTTAATATTATTAGGTTAAATATTGTTTGAATTTTTGTGGCAAAATGATGATAGCTTTAGCTTTGATAATTTTATAGTAGCTTCATGGTATTATTATGTGCTCACTATAATTTTTGTAGCTTTAGAATAGACTTAACATAAGGGTAGTTAAATGCTCTTTGTTTCAAATATACATTAAATCATTAGTAGAAATAAAGATATATTCTTTATTTATAAAGTTAGGTGTTTGTTAGTTGAACTCAACACTTTACTTGATGAAGATGATAGTTAGCTTAGTATCTTAGTCATTAGAGCTAGCTTAGTAGTTTACCATATGTATTCTTAATTTAGGAGCTGTTGTTGCTTAAATAGTAAGTGTTGCATCATCATCGCATGTATATAGAGAATGAGTTGGCGGAGATCATGACCATCAGAGACCACGAGTTCGATAAGATGATCGAGGAGTACAAGGAGAAGATTCTCGTATAGGAGGAGGTCCTGGAGCCGCCACTAACTGATTGAGCTGACACCGCGCCTTTCCAAGGCAAACCCCGATGCATAACTCTTATTTTGAATAATCATCCTTTGGATATATATATGTGATGCATTTACGTTACAGGCTTATTGTTGAAGCTACATGCATATATATACCTACCTATGAGTACTACTAGCTTAGGTCGAGTAGCTGCTATGCTTAGGTTTTTCGGTAGAGTGAGTAACGTGCCGTTACTCTCCATAGGTGATTATTATTATCACTCTCATGATAAAATGGTGAAAAGAAATGGAGACCAAGCAGGGATATGGTACGGGTATTAGTGGGTGTAATAGGTTGTGTCCCGCGGCCAACGGGGCATAGTTTGGTTACATTGTTTTCCCTGTTTGTGTCGGTTAAGGACCAGCCGTTGCATTGGATTCTAATCAGGTCACAGACTTATTATCCTGAGCACATACTTATTTATGGAAGCAGGGAAGGCTCGTTGCTCTCTTGTCGTGGGTTTTGGCTCTTTTCGGACCGACTAATTAAAGGCAGGGATGGTGGAGATCTAAGCACCACACTGAGTCCGGGACTCAGGTGTGGGGGATTGGAGTCCAAGTTTGGACGGGGACCTAGACCCCTTGACAGGAGAGTGGTGGGTTGGTCCCGCTTGTGCCTGGTGTACAAGAGAGGAGTGTGTTTCGGGGTACCCAGCTGGGCTACATTGGTTCACGAATCACCGTGTAATACAATACGACTTGTCTACGATCTAGCACCGTAGTAAGAACTGGAAGATGAAAGGTAGTGAAATGGATCTAATTGCTCAACTCTTGCTTGAAAGTAGAACATGTGCTTACATATAATGGTTAGCTAATGAATTAATCATGACTGCTAATAAAATATATACATAAGGATTCACTGTTAGTAATGCTTTTGCAAAAAGGAAACCCAGAAAACCATAAAAGATTATTATATCCTTTGGAGTCGGGAAACTATTCCCACTAGTCGGGTAAGTCTTGCGAGTATATTGTGTACTCAAGGTTTATATACCCCTGTTGTAGGTGCAGCTTGAGGAATGACTGTTGTGTGGAGGATTCTTCTGGTGGGCATAGACGGATCCTTGTATCTTATCGTTAGATATTTATTTCAATTTCGCTGTTTAAATTCTTCACTCTAAACTTGGTATTGTAATAGTGTATTTCTGAGAACTCTTATTGTATAAAACGGGCTAAGTATTGTAAACTCATTCTCATTATTGGATCTTAGAGGAAAACATGGATTGTTTGAGTTTTCCCTTGGGGTGTGCTCGATGGAACCATCCAATGTAGCTTGCTTTCGGGGTGCTTAGTGTCTAGTGGAAGACAAGCGTCTCCGAAGACGTGTTATTTTGGATGATTCTGCCACAGTGCAGAACAATAAATCATCTCTTATTTGGGAAATAACAAAGATATATAATAATCTCACATTATGAGAATATTGGGAGAAAATAATAGTTGTGGACAACGATACCTCTATAATTGCAAATGTTTCTCTTATGAGAACCCAGATCTAGAAAATAAAGTCTATAACAAAGTCGCCTGTAGCGGTTATATCGGGTCAATGAAGAAAGCAATTGAGGTTGAATCTCCTACTATGAAAAAATAAATGTTCTGCTATCTCTCTGACAAATGAAATGATATGAATATGCAGTTAGTAAGTGGATTATGAAAATCCATATAGTTCCTGAAGAATAGAAATCGCAACATATAGAAATTAAATCTCATACTAAGTATTAAGAAGTATAAGATAGAATATATATTCCTGTATGAATATTGAAGTCTCAAGAAGAGCATGTCCTAGAAGGAATAGTCATCGAATGACTTTATAGTGAATAACACTATCTCATTGTGTATATCTCAGAATAATCTCTCATACAGTAGAGAATATATCTCGTGGAAGAGAAATGTAATTCACCGAAAATAAGAACATCCTTAAAGGAACTAATCCATGAAGGATTTATCAGTCGATTTTTGAATAAACACCATTGATCCCTGAAGTGAATATAGATCCGAGAAAAAAAAATGAGGAATCTTAAACACCATGAAGGTGTCATATAAACATCAGAAAGTGCATATCAAAAGCTAGCAAATGAAGTATTGATATCTTCTAAATACCATAGAAGGCATAAGAATAATGATGATCTTGGCAATTGAATTATCCCCTAAATACCAAATATAAGACTGGATTTATTATTTCGTGGTACAATTAAAATCCTGAAGATTTAAAGAACATATAATTTGAAAATCCACTAAGAAAGAATTATAAGTATTCAAACTCTATTATAAGTTTGATACACTATTTAGAAGATATTGAATATTGTAACTTATTTACCCCTATAATTCTCTAAAAGATTTTTTTACCCTGAAGAATAAATTTTATTTGTTTTGCACAATTAATAAGTGGTTATTCATGCATGAAGAATATTGCTCTTGTTTACTCATATTATAATTCATTGAATAATGGTAAGCCAACAATTTGGTATTATGGTACTGCATACTATTATTTAGCATACATTTATGAAAAAAATGTGGACTGAACAATGAAGTTCAAAGGATGGCTTTATGAGGGGGAGCAATTTGAGTAAATCTAACTTGAAGGTAATTAAAATCACTAGAATTACAAAGATCACGTAGATCATATTTGCTAAAACATTGAAGTTTATGCATAGATCATGAAGGTAAATATCTATTCATGAAGAATAGAATATCCCAAAGAATACATGACAAATAAGGTTAAATGTTACACTCTTTTTTTCTATGTGAGTTTTTATTTGAAGGTTTCTCACGCAAGGTTTTTAATAATACAATATGTGCAATGCAATTAATGAATACGATGTACTCTTTTATCTAAGAACCGTTTTTTTCACTGAATTTTTGGATGGAGTTTTTAATGAGGCATGTGCATATCGTGGTAATCGTCCAAGAGGGGTGTTGTAAAATATAGGAACTCTATCCTACCAGAAAAGGAGAAGGTGAAATCCTAATACTAGTCCGTTTGTACATGTGTTCTTACCAAACTCTTAGACCTTGATAGGACTATATATGTGTTGAAACTCTATATTCTAATCACCAATATTAAGAGAAATAAAGAATAATCTTCCTATATCTTATAACTATATGTTCTATTTTCACCTACTGTACCTTAGTCATAAGAGCTCTAGCCACTTCAACATGTTTTATAACACTCTCTCTCCGTCTCCCTCCCAAGTCCCACCCGCTCCACTTCCGGTCCCCGAACCCCGTCTTCAATGGCCCCATCCCCTCGTCCCCTCGCCTTCCAGAACCTTCCTTTCGCGAAATAGCCAAATCAATACCCTACCCACCCACCATCCCAGAGCCACAGTTACTGCCGGGCTACCTACCCTCTCCCCGCGCTCGTGACCGCTCGCCACCCCCGCCGCGGCTCCGGGCGACAGGAAAGCTCCCGTCCTGGTGAGGTCCCAAAAGCTCCCGCCTTTCCCGCTCAAATCTCCCCTCCCGGCTTCTGGGTTCGGCTGGCGGAAGCTCAACTTCTTGCTGTGTTCGTCGTTTCAGGCACCCGGCGGGCCGGCGGATTTGATTCCTCTCCGCCTCTGGTGTGGTGCTCTGGCCCCACAGTTTGTCGGCTGCTTTCTACCTGTACTTGCAGAGCTGCAGGTGGATGGTGAGGTGTTCTTGCCAGGATAGCACCTTATCCTGTTCCCCGCCCCCGTGCTAGATGCGCGCCCGCGTGTGTGTATGTCTTAATGTCTATGCGTGTCCTGTACTACTGTGTATCCAGGTGCTAGGGGCAGCTCCTTGTCATTGCTCTTGGTTTACAAGGGAGTTTTGCTGACATTATTGTCCAACACACCATTCCATGCCGGCGTCAGAGTAGAGATTCTAGCATTGTTTCTCGGTTAGGAGGGTAGAATCTGGCTAGCTATGGACCCAATGCTCAACCCGGTAAAGGAGGAGAGCCATGGGGAGGGAGGAGATTTGCTGGCAGGTGCGGAGGAGGCCGGGGACGGGCCGTCCACTGCGGTCGCCGCGGCGCCGAGGCCGATGGAGGGTCTGCATGACCCTGGGCCGCCGCCATTCCTCACCAAGACGTATGACATGGTCGACGACCCGGCCACCGACCCGATCGTGTCGTGGAGCGCCACCAACAACAGCTTCGTGGTGTGGGATCCGCACGCCTTCGCCACCGTGCTGCTGCCCAGGCACTTCAAGCACAACAACTTCTCTAGCTTCGTCCGGCAGCTCAACACCTATGTAAGCGCTTCTTTTCCCCCCATTACGATTCAGCCTGGCATGGTTCGTGATGCTTGGGTGTTAACAGCGTTGAATGTTCAGATCCTAAATGCAATGCTGTTGACTGTTTTTGCAAGTAGTTGGTGTAATCCAGTTGCGTTGTTATGTTTTGTGGTCCGCAATGAAACGACATATGTAGGCATTGAAGCTTGCTATGCACTATTTAAGTACTCTGCTTGAGTTGTGGGAATCTCATCTCTTATTTTTGGTGATAATCACATTTGTACTTCAGAACAACATATAGATAATTAATTAAACAAGCAAGTTTAACTTACAGCGTATTCAGGTATGAATGTATGATGCAAGTTAATACTACAGTTGCATAGTACTACGTCTTTGTGTACAAGTACGTAGAAACCCCAGACAAGTTATTGTTTAATATGAGGAACGTGGTTCGCCACATCTGCTCATGTTGTCCTTAAAGGAAGGAAATGAAGAAGATAATCTTGTTGGCATTTCGGAAAATATTACTGCTGTGTTTTTAGCAAGCATTCATCTACAAGGGATAATTTGTTTTGAATTATTATTTTCCTTAAGCTATTCAACAGCAACATCACCCTTCATGTGCTGTACTTCCCTGTTTTGATGCCAGGGCACCTTTTCCTGAATTAATAGCAGCTGGAATACTTCTGCGTGCCCACTCTTTGGAGCTATTTGTAGTAATGTGCATGATTGAATAGTAACCCTAACGCCATAGGTTACATGTCACTGTCAGCTTCTAAAGTTCATGCTGTCCTTGCACTGTGCATTATTCCTCTCATGGATTCTTCTCTCTCTCTCAATGAACTCAATATTTCTGAAGTGAAACAATATTTTCATACTATTGATCTCTATTTTGTTAATGCTTTATTGTTTGCTTATTTGCTTTTGAATGAGGCAGTAAATGACAGGTCCACGAAATAGTAGAAAAGGAGGAGTATTGATTTATTGAAGCAGAAATTAACAAATTAAATGAAGAAGTAACTGAAAACAATGCAAACTGAAACTGTGCAAAGTAAACTGGAACATATCCTAAAGAGGTAATGTAGGACATCTTTTGTTTGATTACACTTTAGCTCTTATTGCTGATCTGTTGAAAAATTAACCGTATTATTTTATTATACTTCAAATGCACCAGTATCTTCTTGCCTTGAGGTCTTTTGAAGCTAACCGTTGCCTGATATGTTGTTTGCTGGCCTATCCAGGGTTTCAGGAAGGTGGATCCTGATCGGTGGGAATTTGCGAATGAGGGTTTTTTACGGGGACAGAGACGGCTCCTGAAGAACATTAGGCGTCGAAAACCTCCTGCTCAGAACGCCACAAACCAGCAGTCCCTTGGGCCATACCTTGAGGTGGGGCACTTTGGATATGATGCAGAGATTGACACGCTGAAGAGAGACAAGCAGTTATTGATGGCAGAAGTGGTGAAGCTAAGGCAGGAGCAGCAGAACACGAAGGCGAATCTCAAAGCCATGGAGGATAGGCTACAAGGGACTGAACAGAAGCAGCAGCAGATGATGGCGTTCTTGGCACGTGTCATGCGGAATCCTGAATTCTTAAAGCACCTGGTTTCCCAGAATGAGATGAGAAAGGAGCTCCAAGATGCTATTTCAAAGAAAAGAAGACGCCGCATCGATCAAGGACCTGAAGTTGATGACTTGGGGGCTGGTAGCAACCTAGAGCAAGGTTCACCAGTCCTATTTAATCCCCAGGATTCGGTTGAATTCCTTGTCGACGGGATCCCAACTGATCTTGAGAGTCCAGCTTTCGATGGCCAAGGTCTGATCGAGCCACAGGACATTGATATTGGCAGTACCTCTGAGCAGCAGCAAGACATGCCCCAGGATGATTTGAATGACAACTTCTGGGAGCAACTGCTAAACGAAGGACTTGGTGAGGAGAACGATAGCCCTGTTATCGAGGATGATATGAATGTGCTGTCTGAGAAGATGGGCTTTCTCAACTCAGATGGCCCAACATCCAGCTAATAGTTTCGGTACCTTTCTGTTCTTTTCATCGTACCACAATCTGCAACTCCTGAGCTGTGTCTACTGTGTCAGCAAGACTAGGCAATTGTTCTGTTGGTTGGTTTCCATCGCCTTCTGAATTCCTTGCTAAGGGTAGGCCTTTGCTTCCATGAGAATTGGCCGGCATTCGCCATGACGTCCAGGGAAAACTGCTAGGTGCATCTGATATGATCTGACTGTAGTGATTGCTGCTTGCCACCGGAGTGGCTGTTTTAGGCAACACCAGCGATTTGTTGCTTGATTTTAGGACCCTGCCCGTTAGGAATTCAGTATGTAGTTATGTACAGTGACAGCGACTCAGCGAGTAGTGCTGATGGTTTATACATGTTTCTGTCAGTGGTGGTGTGCTAACTCTGTGTTTGTGTAATTTCGTACGGTGGCAACTTTGTTTTGTTACAGCTCGTTCGGATGGTCTGCTGTACAGTGTTTTTTGGATTTTTTTTAATGATTGAATGGTATTATGTGAGTGAGAATAAGCTGAAACAGGCTGGAACTATACCAGCTGAACGCGGTGAGGAGTAAATTTTGAGGTTCTGAAGTACTACTTTTCGTTTCTAAGATCTGGGAGAAAATTTTGATTCACCTGAATAATACGGATGGAAAAATTCAAGAAATGCCTCTCTCTCCCCCAATGCTGCTTTATTTGGTGTGCGAATTGGAAGACAATTCGTGACTGTAGTACGTGTTGTGAATCGTGATTATGGAAGAAATGAGATTAAATCGTTTTTGGGGAAAACTTTGTTGTAGCTGCAAACACAACCGAGCCATGGGGAGCCACTTGATAGTACTTCTCTTTTTCATTGGTAGCTAAATCATAGCTCTCCGGCAAGTCTCAGGGGGGGAAAAAAATCTTTGGTAAATAGAAAAACAAAAATATAGCAGCTCTGTAGACACCGTTTTTAACAAGTATGATAAAACTACTTTTATAAAACAGTACAGTACAACAGAGTCAAACAGAAACAGAACTAACAGTACTACGGTTGCAGAACAGAACAAGACTGACTATCTGAACAGCAAGAACTAAGCACTTCTGTTCTTCTGCTTGAAGCAAATTCTTGAGAGCCCACTCAAGCCCCCAACCTCCATTTGCGTTTCCGCCCCCATTGTTCTGAAGCAATAAATCAGTCCTTTGTTCCAGAAATAGCTGTAGCAGCAGGTGAGGAGGTGAAGGACAATGGTGTGTGGACAGGGCGGGGGGCTCCGGAAAATGTCCCCATCGCACGCCGCCAACGACGAGGAGCCATCACTCAGATTGTACTGCATCACGCGACCACTTACGGTGCTGCAGAGAACGACGGAGTTCCCAGAGACGGAAGGCATCCCCTTGGCGGAGACCGCCAGGCTCTGCATGCCGAAGAAGAGGCAGTTGTCGCCGATGCTTGTCAATGGAGCTGCCGGCCCGCCGAGCAGTAGGTCGGCGAGCCTGACAACCACGAGGTGTGTGGAGCTGGTGTCGGTGCTGCCGACCACGAGGATCTCCGACTCGAACTCCACCAGCCGTGGCATGATCATGAGCTTAGCGGGGAGCGTCACTATCGTCTGCGGCGGCGGAAGCGGAAGTGGCAGTAGCGAGGACTCCTCGAGGTGTGCCGGCGGCCACGGCGGGTCGAGGCGCATGATGCTTGAGTCGCCGGAGTTGGAACGCTGCACATATACTTGTCATATCTTTTGTAACTATATGTCTATATATCTATCTAGTTTGGCTAGATATTGATTCAAACAGGTGGAGGGTCAGGGTCATTTGATGCTGTAAATATTTGAGACATCAGAGCATATGATAAATTTCAGACTAGTTACACACTATCAACAGTTAAGTGTTATAGTCCTAACCTTCATTTCAACATTAACAATACACACTTTGTCCAGGTAATTGTTATATGTAGTCATAATCTGTCTTCGAAAAATTAGTCATGACTCATGCCAAAAGAAATGATGACTCCATTTAGTTTTCAGTTTTCACAAGACTTGAATTTTGTATCCATGATTATTTGATTTCATGGGGAAGAGGTCATCTTTGGTCATGATGAAAGAGAGTAAAATAATACAAAAGATCAGTAACATATAGGTGAAACAGAATAAATACAAAAGAGGGTATTGTTTAACATTATTCAGGCACAAGTAGAGTTGAACTGAGGTAGACAATCTTTTTTCTCATTTTCTTTGGTACTAGGAATAAAACAGGAATAAAGATGTTCTATAGACATCTTGTTTTACAGGGTGGTGAAACCAGTTGAAAACACACATCAGGGGTAAACAGAATTTATGTGGGAGTTTTCCCAAGCAAATCCTAACTTTGAAAATAGTAGCAACAACTTGTTCCTGTGAAACAACTGAAGAAACTGAAGCAGTTCATCGCAACAATTTCACCACGATAAACAGGTCGTATAACAATGCCTCATTCAGACTTCATCATAAGCTCAAACCCCAAACCGCAACTTGCATTTCGTCTTCCATGAAGGTTTTGTTCCATGGCAATACATCAGTCCTTTGTTCCAGAAATAGCGGTAGCAGCAGGTCACTAGATGGTGAATAATGCTGTGCGGACTAGGTGGGGGGCTATGGACGATGTCTCCGTCGCACGGCGGAGACATGGCGCCATCACTGAGATCGTATTGCATCGGGCCATTTTTTATGGTGCTGCAGAGAATGATGGAGTTCCCAGCGATGGAAGGCAACCCCTTGGAGGACACCGCGAAGCTTCGCATGCCAAAGAAGAGGCAGTGATCGCCGATGCTTGTCAATGGCGCGGCAGGCCGTCCCTCTAGGAGGTCAGCAAGCCTGATCACCACGAGGTGGGAATCGGACGCGTCGGTGCTGCCAAGCACCAGGATCTCCGAGTCGCATTCCACCAGCCGTGGCAGAATCATCAGTTTGGCTGGAAATTTAGCGATTGTCTGCGGTGGTGGCACTGTGGCCGGGATAACGCCGCCGGCGAGCCACCCTCGTCAAGGAGGGGTACGTCCAGACGCGAGATGCTCCCAATCCCATCACAGTTCGCCATGTAGAAGCTGCCATGGAATGGCAGTGCTCTGCTGAGATTTACATTTACACTCCAGCTCGTGAGAGTCCAGTTCCGGTCAGCAGTGGACGCATGGGCGAAGCGGCAGAGGTGTTCCAGCGCGAGCAGGACGGTGACAATCCCAGTCGCCTGAGCAACGGACACAGCAGCGGCGACCCTCCGGAAATAAACCAGGTTGTTCTCTTCACCGTCGAGCCATGGCTGTTTGGGGGTGAGCTGGCAGAGCTGCGGCAGTAGTGACTTGAGCGGCGGGAGGTCCACGATGTCCCCGGTGAATGGATGGAGGAGGCGGACCGCGGTGTCGGCGTCGCGCTGCAGGAGGAGGAGGCCGTCGGGGGAGTCGAGGATGCAGTGGTCCTTGAACTCCGGGATGCAAGCGCAAACGAAGGCGCCCGCGTCGCGGTTGAAGAAGCGAGCGCGCCCACGGAGCCTGGGGTGGCCGGGGTGAAGGCCGTGCCCCTCGGGGAGCATCATCCACCGGCGTGGGTGGAAGCGAGGGTCGGCCACGATTCGGCCGCGCGGGTCGACGGTGCAGGAGCGCCAGTGGCGGCACGCGGCGCGGAAGCGGACGTAGTCGAGCAGATCTCCGGCGAGCACCCGGTCCGCGATGTGCGCCATCAGATCCTCGGGCATCGACGGCCAGGGCGAGGAGGCCGTGGTGGCGGTACCGCGGCGTCGCTTGGTGCTGTGGTCGTCGCATGAAGGGACTGGACGGTCCACTGCATCGGCCGGCCGAGCCCGGCGGCGGCTAACCATCCGGCCGATCCCAAATCCAAATGGAAAGGAGTGGTAAAAACACAACTTTCACAACGGCGAGCGAATATCGTAGGATCTATGCCAACATGGCTCACAGAAATAGGCGGCGACGCTGCTTCCGACTCCAATAATCCAATTTGGAGTCGGAGTCCGATCGCATCTGCCAGGGCGTCTCCAACGACTTGGAGCTGATCAATTTCTTTGGGATTCCGTTTGTCGCCGCCGCTGCCGCCGCCGCAGACAGCGAGGGGATGACGCCGCGCCCGTTTCGGGGGAGGGGCGTGGGAGAGGTCTTGATTTTTTTTTAATTCCATGTGCCATTAAAAAAAAGATCGTAACGCCTTATATACCTCTGGAAAAGTTCAGCGGTCTTCAACACCACTGCTCCAACTTTTTTGTACCCTCCATGCCACTGCCGTCAGTTTGGGCTCTAACACCGTCAAACTGCATGCGTGAAAAGTCAAAAATACCCTTATGTCTAAATATATCATTAATTTTTTGAGCATCTTAACGACTTCAAATGAAAAAACTCAAAACTAGAAAGTTGTAGATCTCGTAGAGATCTATAATTTTTATATAAAAATTATTTTCATTTAATTCCGTAAAAAAAAGATATGATTTTTCTAAGATATAATCATATCAAATCATATTTTTTGTGGAATTAAATGAAGATAATTTTTATATGAAAATTATAGATCTCGACGAGATCTACAACTTTTTAGTTTTGAGTTTTTTCATTTGAAGTCGTTAAGATGCTCAAAAAAATTAATGACATATTTAGACATAAGGGTATTTTCGACTTTTCACACCTGCAGTTTGACGGTATTAGAGACCAAAATGACGGCAGTGGCATGGAGGGCACAAAAAAGTTAGAGTAGTGACGCTGAACTTTTTCAGAGGCACACAGAACATTGCGATCTTTTTTAATAGCACACAAAAAGTCCCCTTTATTTTTTATAAGGTTGGGAGTGATTGCAAACTCGCCCAATTGAGAGTTAATTGCACTATGATTTTTTATTCTTAACACAAAAAGCTGATATTTTAATAATAACGGTCCCTAAATAACTATCATTTTTTTTCTCAAAAAACAAATTTAACTAAATAAATATATAAAAAAATAATATTTATGGTACAAAGTAAATATTATTAGAGACATCGTTAAATCTATTTTTATAATAAATTTATTTGAAGATACAAATACTACATATATTTTCTACAAATCTCGTTAAACATATGGTACGGAAACAAAAAAAAAACGACAGTTATTTAGGAACGAAGGAAGTAGTATGCATGACGTGGCTAAATAAACATACTCTGTTCGCTTGTCTGAATTCTGGAGAAATCTGGATAGTTTGGAGGAATGCTGGAGGAATTTGTGAGAAAAAAATATTATTTCCAATGAAAAAAATAAGCGGATCAAGCCGGATTTAATGGCACGCGGGCATGACAAAAGACTGAGTCATGCCATATTGATATTGGCGTGGTGGCCAACCGAGTCACGCCACCAACGCCAGGTGTGTCCATTGCTTGGTTAGTTGGTATAAATTATTTTTCTGTTACTCTTTTGTTCTTAACTTTTTATGTTTTTTCTACTTTCTTTCCCTTTCTAGTTTCTTTCTATTTTTTTATGTATCTTTCTTTAATTTACTATAATAAATTATTTTTTTTTATTTTCAATGTTTTTATTTCCTATGTTACATGAAATACATGTCATGTAAGCGTAATGTACTTGTGATTTTTTAAAATTTAATTTTACTTTTTATTTCCACTTTCTTCTTATTTATTTTGTTTTAATTAATGTTTTTTGTTTTTAATTTATTTCTATAAATATTGTGTTCATGAGATGTTCCGTGACAATTATTGTTCATGTAGAATTCATATGACGTTCTATGATATATTTTGGGTGTTGACATAATATCCGTAGAATGTTCTATGACCTATTTATAATTGTTCATACTACCTATGAGATGCTTTATGTTATATTGTTGTTGCTTGCATAGTACCCATCCTATGTCTATTTTTAAGAATTTATGTTTTTTTCTTATTCGTTATTTTACTTTAGTTCAATAGTTCATTTTTATTCTCATGTTTTACTTTTAAATTGTCCTACATTCCATGAAATACATGTGATGTTCACGTAGTATATATAATTATCTTTGAGTATTCACGTGGTAGCTATGATATGTTCTATAGTATATTTTAGGTTGTTCAAATAATATCATGTAATGTTTTTTTTCGTTTTCCCTAGATTTTTATTTTTTTTGTTATTTTACTTTAATTAAGTAGTTTATTTTCTATTTTATTTTTTACTTTTTAAATTTCCTACATTCGATGAGATATATATGATGGTCGCGTAGTATGTCATGTACTATGATGTATTTTGTGGTGTTGACATAGTATACATGTGATGTTTTATGATGCATTTTGTGATGTTCACGTAGTATACATGTGATGTTTCATAGTATACAAGTGATGTTTTATGATGTACTTTGGGATTTTCCAATAGTATATATTTGTTATATAATATATTTTATTTTTCTATGCTGTACTTTGGGATGTTCATGTAGTATAAATGTGATATTCTATGAAGTATTTTATGATGTTCACATAGTATGATGTTATATGATATAGTTTGTAATGTTCACATAATATAAATCGGATGTTTTACGATTATCTTTGAGTATTCACGTAGTAATCGTGGGATGTTTTATGGTATATATTCCAGATTGTTTTAGTAGTATCTATGTGATCTTCTGTGCTTTTTATTATGTTCTTTTTTATGTGTTGTTCTATATTATATTATATTTTATCTTATACTTATTTGCTTTCGATTATTAATTTTTTATTTCATTCCTTGGTTCATATTTTCATTTTATTTCCACAATTTCATGGCCTTTTCTCTTTGTCTTCTCCTTTTCTTGCTTGTTTTGTCTATTACAGAATCATGGCCTTTCCCCCTTCTCCTTTCCTTGTTTATTTTCGCTATTATGTTGTTTTTCTATATTCCATGAGATGTCCGTGGTATATTTTAGCCTAGAACATTATTCTTGTGAGGGTGGGATATTTTTACTCGGGCTTAAATGGTATGATAGTCAATAACAGAAATATTTCTGATTTAACACAAAACATCTACATGCCGTAGCAGTTGGTGAATGGCAGAAGAGTCAATAGGTGTTGTGTTCGCGAACCGTGGTGGACACCATTTTTTTTCGTATTTTCTATTTTATTATTATCAGCGCGAAGCGGCTGGGAAAGCCGAGTCCGCTTGCAGACACGCGGCCCGTGATAGAGTCCGCTTGCTTAGCAGAAGCGCGGCCCACGATTGAGTCCGGTCGCCCCCTAGCCGCTACATACTCAGAACGAACTTTTCCTTAACTAAAGTCTGAAACTCTGAGCGCGATACAACGGTCGGCCGACGTCGGCGCCGCCGACGACCCGAACCTGGCCAGAGGCCGCGCCTTCAACGACCCAAGCCTGGCCGAAGCCCGCGGCGCGGCAGTTGCCATGGAGTGGAAGCCGTCTCCGCCTCCGCCTCCTCCTCCTCTCCATCCCGGCGCCCATACGCAGTTTCTGCCTTCGCCGCCTCCTCTGCCTCCTCCTCCTCCTCCTCTCCGTCCCAGCGCCCGTACGGAGTCTCCGCCTCCGCCTCCTCTCCGTCCCGGCGCTCGTACGGATGATGCAGAGCAGCCACCCGGAGCCCGTCGTCACCCCCGCCGCCTTCTCGGCCTCCGGGACCCGTCTCTCTCGATTTGTTCTTGCGAGGTACTTGTGTGCGTCCGTATTTCAAGAATGGGTTCCCGTCTCCCTCGATTTGTTCTTGCGATGCCAAGAATCACCCCAGTGAAATTCTGTTGTTTGTTTTGTAAGTAGTTTACTTGTGTGCGTCCGATCCATATTTCAAGAACAGGTTCCCGTCTCCCTCGATTTGTTCTTGCGATGCCAAGAATCACCCTAGTGAAATTCTGTTGTTTGTTTTGTAAGTAGTTTCTGTAATCCTCGAAGCTACCATTCACTATCTTGTGGGTTAGCAATAGAACTGAAGAGACACCTAATAGCTATTGAAGCTTGCTAGGCACTCTTGAGTCTTGACTACTCTGATTGAGTAGTGGGGATCTTTATCTTCTGTTCCTGTTCTGGTGATAAGCATGTTTTGTACTTTAGGACAACATTGATAATCAATTACATAAGTGATTCTAACTTTCACTATATTCATGTATGATGAAAGCTAATGCTACAATTTGCACATTATTTAGTTTTTTTTGTGTACAAGTGTATAGAAATCCTAGACCAGTTACTTTAGTTAAATTATGAGAAACATATGCATGCCATGTTCGCTGCTTCTGCAAATATTGTCCTTGAATGAAGAAAATTATTGCTAGGATTTGGAATAATTATTACATTTGTGATTTTAGTATACACTTTTCTATAAACAGTCATGTGTTTGAACTTTTTATTTTTCATAGTGTGGTTAACAGTGATATTGGCCTACATGTGATGTACTTCAAGTATTGACTAGGTAGCGTGCCCGTGCGTTGCTACGGGACAACTAAACTTTTATACTAAAAACACATAAATCGCACGATAAGATAACAATACTGTGAAATTAAATACCGACGTTAAAATAACATTTAATCCAAAAAGCAAATTTCGTGAAATTAACATAACTTTTGTACTAAAAACGCGCGAATCGCACGATAAGATAATAATACTGTGAAATTAAATACCAACATTAAAGTAATATTTAATCCAAAAAGTAAAGTTTATGAAATTAACACTCTCACGGAGAGCACGGTGTCGCAGGCTCACTAACTCTACTGTATAGACCTTTTCATGCGTTGCAACAGGATAAATAATGTCCTAATAATTTGAGCATTAACGTGTTGTATTGTTAAAAAAATCATAATGCGAGCATGATGTTCAATATTACAAATTGAATCTTGTGCATGGCTAAAACTCTCATCGATGGTTTGCAATCATCAAGGTATGCATTTATAGTATTG